CAATATATAGTACGGCACGCTTATAAAAAGGGGACCCTAATTTGGAGAACTGTTTAGAAGACTCCAAGCCCTACACCCAAGCCCTACACTCTGAACCCTGAACCCCGGATTCTATGAGTTCCAGCACACCCATTTCTACGACTCCCTTCCAAAAGCCCTGAAGTGTAAACCCATGCAGAGCGCCGTAAACAGCTTCATCAAGCCCACTGCAAGTCTCATTAACGATCAATGATCAAGGCCGCAAAGTCCTGCTCAATCCCGAAACCCAAAGTGATGAATCCTCCCATCTAGTGACTCTACACCCTACTTGGAGGCTCAGGGGACTTAGTAAGTCGGTTATAAGTAGGGTTATAATTGGGGTAGCTCCAGTTAGGGTACTTATCACTCTACTTATAACCTACTTACTAAGTCCCCCTGGGCCTCCAAGTAAACCCTAAACCCTCCTAAACCCTAAACCCTAAACCCTAAACCCCCACCAGGTGGAAGACACGCTGGGCGCAGGAGTAGCTCGGATGCAGAGTGGTTTCAGTTTCGGGTTTTGGGTTTCAGGGCTTTTTAGAGTTTAGGGTTTGGGGGTTTAGGGTTTCGGCTTGTGGGTTTCGGGCTATTTTTCAAGGTTTGAGGGTTTCGGGTTTCGGGTTTTTGAGGGTTTAGGGTGCAGGGTTCTGGCATGGGTTTTGGGTTTAGGCTTCGGGTTTAGGGTGTAATTCGGGCTTTGTTTAGGGCTTTGTTTAGGGTTTCGGTTAGGGTTTCGGGGTTGGGGCTGCTGGGTCGCAGAGACTCCTCAACCCGCTGCGCCCAATTCCTTGAGCCTCAATCGCGTCTGTAGTCCTGCTTGGAGTTGGAGGTTCATGGCTGGTTGTACGTAGAATTCTAAGTAGGGAGCCCTACATGTAACTACCCAGAGAGCTCAATGCCCCTTAATTAAGGAATATACCTTAAACCATAAAAAAAGCCCCTGGTAGTTTAAGGTATATGGCTGAATTAAGGGGTACTGGGCTCTCTACGTAGGTACCCAGGAACCTCCAAGTACCCGTGATCTGTCTGCTTCTTTCCTGCCCGGACCCTTTGCAGAGTCGACTCGACCTGGGAATTGTCCACCCTGTACGAAGTTCTAAGCTGGAAGACCGGTTTTGGGGGTCAGGGCAGTGATGGAGGTTTTTGGTTTTTAAGGATGGGGGTTTTAAAGAGATCATGATCTGCCTTGGTTGAAGACTGTCGTTGCGCTGTAGGGTTTGGGTTTAGGGTAGCATGACAAATCAGAAAATTAAGGGCCCCTGCTAGGAGATCAGATTATTTTGGGTTTCAGCCACGGTCATTTGGCTATTTTCTGAAACTCCCACAGCAGCTTGTTCACGATCCTAGAAGTCTTAGAGTCAAGTGTAACCCGAAACCCTGAAACACCAAACCCCACAAGTTGAAAGTCAAAACATCCAAAAACCCTAAACCCTAAACGCGAAGCTCCATAAGCCCTAAGCCCTAAACCGAAGAGGCTCCAATGTGCATGTGTGAAAGGGTAAATCTAGGACGTTTTCAGGGTGGGTAGTTACCGTTATAGGAGCCTTATAGAAGGTCTATATACCTTATAGAAGCTATATAGAAGGTCTATATACCCTAAACTCCCCACCTGTAGTTCCTAAACCCTAAACCCTGAACCCTAAACCCTAAGCCCTAAACCTCCTTTAGCTAAACTCCGCATCCTGGCAGCTTCATCCCTTCCTCGCGCTCGACCCCCTACAACCCCCGAAGCCCAACACCCAACGCCCCAAAATCCAAATCCCAAGCCCTAAATCCTAAATGGCCCCTAAACCCTAAACCCTAAACCCTAAACCCTAAACCCTAAACCCTAAACCTCAACTCCCCAAATCCTGAAACCCTGAACCCTACAACCCCTAAACCACCCTAAACCGTCAATTCATCCTTAAAGCGACGCAGATGATTGTGGAGCTGCTGAAGGAGGTCGATGGAAACGGCGATGGCGTCATCGATTTCCAGGAGCATTGCGTTTTGGGGGCTTGGAGTCGCTATAGGGTTTAGGGTTTAGGGTTTGATATAGGGGTCTTAATAACTACCTATGCTATTTTGGGGGTTCCTTATTTTAATATTAGTGTAATATAACCCAAAAACGTATTCTAATTATTAAGGCCCCTACATTAGAGCCTTTTTTCGGTTCTTGGAGCTTCAAGGTTTTGGGGGTTTGGGGATCAGGGGTTATTTGGGCGAAGTCTAGGTAGGGCCATGTTAGGGTTTTTGGGTGGAGGGTCGGTTTGGGTTGGTGTTTCAAACCCTAACCCTAAACCCTAAACCCTAAACCCTAAACCCTGGCTATGGCTCAAGCCGCTGGTTCTAAGGTGAGTGTAGTGCCAGGGTGTAGTTCCCTTCTCCGTCGCTTTCCTTCAGCGATTTCGTGCCTCTGATTCAAGATCTTCGTGCCTTACTTGATTCTCCCACTCGTGGAGTATCTCCCCTGGGTGTACCTGCTCTGTCCCTTCTACCCGATTCTGGTGCTGCTCGCAGGGGAGAGGAAAAAAGAAAAGAAGGATAAAAAGCGTGTGGATTATACCACAGCATGGCTGAAGGAGGACGTTCTCCCACCGAACTTGTCGAAGATGATGAAGACATCTCGGATGCCGAGTTGTTGGTGCCAGGGAGCGGAGCTGCGGGTGATCCTTCAGGTGCCGTACCTCTTGCCATGAATGTGGATGAGACCTCAGCCACGGCGGGTGGAACGGGAGGTAGCCCGGGTCGTCCCAAACGTGCTCGTGATCCAGAGGGTGGTGCTCGCTCTGGTAGAAGGGGCGGTAATCATCCTGACGTTTCCCCTGAAGCTGATCGGCCCGTTAGCTCTCGTGAACTTCGCTCTCTGCTTCAGCAACATCTTCAGTCTATGACAGCCAACTGGCAGGAGGTCAATGGACGTATCACTGCAGTTGAGAAGGATGTGAAGGCCTGCTCTGCTGAGACACGTGGTCGTATCGCAGCCATGGAAAAGGATGTTGTCAACTCCAAGAAAGAGAGAGATGCCGTTTTTGGTCGCCTTGCACAAAATGAGCGCAAGCAGGGTGATCATGCAAATCGCCTTGAGAAACTTGAGAAGGAGGTTGGGGAAATGCGCGCTGCAAGTTCGGGATCTCCTGAGGGTGCACAACCTGATCCTTGGATGGCTTGGCGTATGCGTAATGGGCCCCTTCCTCCTAAAGGTTCTGTGCCTGCTGCACCTAGTGGTGGGGTGTCGACTGCTGGGGGTGATGCAACTGGACTGGGTCGTGAGGAGCTCAGCGACGAGGACAAACGCACCTTGGTTCTTGGAGGCTGGGCGCAAGATTCTCGAAGGCAAGTCATCCTTGAAGAGGCGTCCACATTTCTCAAGCGAGCGGATGTTTGTGACTTGGTGGATACTCAGGATGTCTTGGTGTTTGGTCCTCGGCGATCTTTCGGCCTCCTTCGCTTCCAGGTCAGGCAGGGTGAACAGTTCTCGGGTGTCCGTGATAGGATGTGGAAAGTCATTCAAGCTCTCCGTGCTGAACCGCACCGCTTAATGTCGGCATCTTCGGAGGGGCGTCCTATGTGGGCCCAGTTTACGAAGACCCGTGAGGCTCGCCGCAGAAGCTCACATGGTGCTATGCTGCGGAGGGTGTGCCTTGGACTTGTCAAGGATGCTGCGCTCAACAAGGAGTCCCATAATGTCGCTGCCTTGGAAGATGGGGCGTACGACGTGGATTGGAACTCTGGCACAGCATGGATGGGGGAGTTCAAGTTGGGATCAGCCACTCATCGACAACCTGTGCAGAACGAGGATGTCAAGGTTCTCTCCACAGGCTGGGTGGATATTGCGGCTACGGCTCGTGCGCTTGGGGTGTGTGTCGACCTCGCCCTCAGTGCCTTCGAGAAAGAGTTGTGACGAGAAGAGAAGGGATGTCTCACCTGCCCTGCTGATTCTCTCGCCTTAGGTGAAGATTCTCAAGGGCAGCAAACGGGAGCCTCCAAAGACGTCAAAAGGCTATGTCGTGGATTGGCTTCTTGGAATTTGGGTGGTCAGGCTCTGTCTAAGACAGATCTGGTTGCTGGGGATCTTGATCTCCTTACAGTGCAAGAAGTACCGCGTGGTGAAGAAGGGTGGAGTGAAGAGAGTACCGATGCCTTTGTGTGGTTGTGCCATCGTAGTGAAGTTCAATGGAGAGGAGTTGGGGTTGCAATTTCGCATGACCTCTTTGACTGCACGACAGATCGGATCAGTTGTCGGTATGGTGCAGCGTGGGTGGTTCGACTACGTGGGGCTCGTCGCTTTGTCCTTGGGTCGTTGCATCTCCCTACGGGTGTCCCTGTCCGCACTTACCTAGCTGCGGTTGCTGAATGCAGGAAGATGCTCAAGGGTTGGCATGAGGACCTGCCTTGTTTGGTGGGTGTCGACGCCAACGCTGAACTTGTTTGGAATCGTGCACACTCGAGATCGGTGGAGGATGATGTGGGTGTCCAATCCAATGCTAAGGTGGATAAGCTGCTTGAGATGACTGCTGCGCTCCGCCTACGCATGGTTGCGCCGCGAATGCCGGATCGCTGGACTCCCACGCACTATCCCAGAGATGAATCTCGTGAGGGACGTCACATTGACTGCATTCTGGTCAGGGGTGTTGCTGCCTCGGACGTTATAGTTGACGCCGACATCAGACTGCACATTAACACTGACCATGCCATGCTTCGCTTGGTTGCCGAGCTTCAGAAAACGCGGGGTGGTCAATGGATTGAAAGCAGAGCAAGGTGGGTGCATTGCCCGGATGCCCTTTTTGAGCCTAGAGAGTGGGAGGATGTTAAGAACATGGCGATCCATGCGACCAGGCCTTCTACCAAGTATCGTGACGGACCTGAAGTACTTGCTCTCATTGCCGCTGCTCGCAGTTGTCGTGGGTTTGCGGCCAAGGAAGGGTGGAAACGTGTGCATCGTGAGAGGCGTAAGATGAGGCGAGAATGGCAGCGAGCTCGAGTACAGCGCATCTTGGGTGGTGACTGGTCTGCCTACAGACAACTTAAACGTGAGCAAAACAAGCTCAACTGGTGGGGGCGTCTCATGGAAAAGAAGTCTTCTGCAGAGGTGGGTCGTGAAGTCACTGCCCATTTGGAGGCGAAACTACATGATAATGCCCTTGACTGGCATGGTGAATTGGAGAAGAGGGTGGCAGCTCTACGTTGTCATGATAATGACTTCATCCCTATACAACCTGACGAAGTGGGGCGTGCGCTTGCACCTATGCGTGCTAATGCTGCACTTGGACCAGACAAGATTGGGGTGGATCTTCTCCGACATCTTCTTGACTGTGCGCCAGCAGCCATTACGCGTCTCTTCAACGAGATCCTGTATTCGGGTGTACTGCCGTGCGACTGGGGTGTTTCACTGCTTGCGTTGCTCCCTAAGACACAATGGCCGAAAGGGGTGTCTGAGTTGCGCCCGATTGCTATGTCATCTGCCGCTATGAAGACTCTGTCGCGCATCGTCATGGGGCGTTCCTTTGATGCATTGCGGTTGTCTTCGCCTTGGTCATGTGCAGGACAAGGCCGGGGATGTGCCGATATGCATGGCGCGTTTGGGCGCCTCAGAGACATGACGCGTGAGTGGCGAATGGGTGTCATCGCTGTAAAGCTCGACATTAAAGGGGCGTTTGACAACATCAGTCGTGGTGCCGTTGCGGATTATCTCTCACAGCATCTTGGCGCTTCCTTTGAACTGCGTTTTCTCCTGCGCCTCTTGGATGACAATGTTCTACAAGGATGTGCGCCTGGTGGGGCTGGGGTGTCCATCCACAGCAATCGTGGGATCCGTCAGGGTTCTCCTGAGTCGGCAGAACTGTTTGGCCTTATCGTGGCAAAGATCATCTCTGACCTTAAGCAAAATGATAATTGGCGGTGTCCTGCGGGGTGTCTTCATGATATTCCCGCAGATGTGGGTTGCTACCAAGATGACATCTTCGTGTGGGGTGAAAATCCGCGATGGATCTCACATAACATCAAACTCATCTCGGACGAGCTGCACGAGGTTGGCCTTGCATTGGCTGGGAACAAGACCAGCGTCATTGCTTCCAAGTACTACAAAGGAGTGAGATATCTTGACATTGCGGGGGAGCGCGTGGATTTTCTCCCCGTTGGCAGCTCGCTCAGGGTGTTGGGCTTGGATTTTGACCTGGATGCTTCCCCCAGTCAGCAGGCTAAGGAGATCATGAGTCGTGTTTGGTCTGCCTTTCACAGCAACAAGGTCGTTCTCTGTGGTGTTGGATCCCGTAAACAGAAGGCCAGCATGGTGTGCAAGCTGGTGGATGGATGTTGGAGTTGGTGCGCTGGCGCCCTGCATTGGGAAGCTAATGACCTCCAGAGCATGAACTCCATCCAGCTTCGTATTTTACGGTTGTGCTTTGGATGTAAGCGGGGTTCACACGAGGATTGGGTGTCATACAACTCTCGGTCCCTGCGGGATGTTCGTGATTGGTTGCATCGTGCCGGGGGGGAGCGTTGGAGTACGAAGATTTTGAGGCTCCAATTTCAATTGATGGGACATTGGACTCGCAGAGATGAGGGAGGAACACAATGCCTGCCAATTCGCCTACACGGTTGGAGAAATCTCGCATGGTGGCAGGGTGTGCAGAAAATCAGTCCCCGCGCGGGGGGTGTTCGGCATCCTAGATGCTTTAAGGCATCGAGTGTTGAGAGGAACTTCGCTACAGTGATAGGGGTGGCGTGGCAGTCGGCCTGCTACAATCGGGCGGGGTGGAAGCAGCTTCTTCAACTTTGGTTACAGTCTATGGATGTGCCGTGGTGTCGAGGACGCCAACTTGCACTTTGCTACTAGTGCATCTTTGTCAGTGGTGTGCACATGTCCGTTCTGCGTGATGCTTGGCAGGCTGATGTTGACTGGGTGTGTGCACGTCATGACTTTGGCTCGGAGCTCTTGCGCATGAATGAGAGATGATATCCTTACTTTGCCATTCTTGTACGTGGATGTGAACCTTCACTTGGGTGAGTACCTTGAGGTCTTTGTTAGTTAGCTCTTCGTTGTGCTGATGGCGCGCCTTGGGAAGTGCCTCGTTTTGGCGACCGTGCTTGGGATCCTCCTGGGTTCGGTCTGCAGCGTCGGTGACACACCTTCAAAATCGACGTTCGATGATCATGGGAGTGACGGTGCTGCTCGTGCAGGGTGGCGAAATAGTCGTGACACAACAGTGTCCTCTTCCTCAACGACTACGACGTCTGCAGTGGAGGGCGTGAACTCCTATGTTCCGGATGTGGCTCCTATGGGTACTACCAGTCTTGTCCATTCCTTGGGGGTGTCTGCTACATCCTCCTCAAGCTCTACGTTGTCTACTTCGCCATCCGCGTTGCCTTCGTGCTCCTCCACTCCTTCTACGACTCCGCCGTGGTCGTGCACGGGAACTACCTCGACTACTTCATCGAATCCGAGGATGGTGAGAAATGCGGATGGAGACATGCAGCCGCAACCTGAACCTGTGCCCGAGGATGTTGCCAATGAGTGGAATACAGCAGGGTGGCAACACAGCTGGACACCGTCGTGGCAACAACATGATGATGGGTGGCATGCAGAACAGGGACGTGAAAGAGCAAGCGGCTCCAATGAGGCTGCGTGGTCACAACCCCGTCGTGATGGCCGTGAGTGGTGGAGTTGGAGTGGTTGGAGCAACCGTGGAGGTAATGACGCTTGGGAACATCAAGGGCAACACTGGGATGAGTGGGGAGATCGTGGCGAGGATGGGACGTGGTGGCAACCTGGGCCAGCTGCTGGGCCTTGGTCTGACTGGGGCGAAGTGTCTTCTGCAAATCGTGGCACATACAGCTGGTATCAATACCCATGGACGAGACCTCGGGTGTCTGACACTGATCCCCGGGATGTACATGAAGCACACATGAGTGGGCAACCTCGACCTGGTCGTGAAGGACAGCGTGATGGACGTTCTGGACGTGATGGATACCGTGATGGACGTGCTCGGTGGCCTGAACCGTCCCGTACCCGGTCGCATGACAGAGCACGTAGTGCTGGGGGTGATGGTCAGCGAAGTTTGTCGCGGCCGAGAAGGGTGAATCTGTTACCTGGTTCCAGCGCGGCTGCGTCCTCCTCCTCTTCGTCAAGACCGCCGCCAGTACAGCCAATTGGGTTCTGGAGGGGTGGACACTGGGTGAGTCGACCGCGCACGGATTCTGAGGAGCGACTGCATCGGGGTGGACAAGGCCCAGTACGTACACAACGGAGACAGCGACGCATCGAGCAATGGGACGACGGGACGTTTCGACCTGCGGTCTTTCATCGTGGGGTGGATCGCTGGGGACCGCAAGCAGCTGCAGATCGCGCCATGTTCCGCGACTTGTTGTACGATCCTCGCTCAGATCCACCACCCTCTCGTTGGTCAGCTCAGCAGTGGGCTGATTGGGACCGCTGGGAAACCGGTGTTACGATGGTTGTGAACTGGAATGAGAGGGGTGTCCCGCATGTGGAGGACGTCTACTTCGAGCCGGAGGATGACTATGATAACGTAGGGTGGCTGCAAATTGGATGGGACACTGGTGGTGATGTCTTCTCTGCTATGCAGTTGACGGGTGACGAGGAGGAGCTGCTTGATGGGCTGCACATCCCTGATGCAGTTCGGCGAGACCTTCGGAATATGCTTCGCACATTAACTGCGCATGCTGCCAATGATGAAGGGCCTGAATATCGCTGGGGCTTGGTGGAGTGGTTGGATGCGTGGGAGACTGGGTGTATCCACATGGACCGCATCATGGACTGTCTTCGCAGACGGGTCAATGTTCGGGGTGTCCCCTATTACCCAGTTGTGCGTGAACCCCGTGAGGGTGCTCAAAGGGTGCGCTCTCTGCAGTGGAACCGCCAATGGACGCAAGTGGCGGCGTCGCTGATGGAAAGCTTGGTTGACAGTGCCATGGTGCAGCATATGGACAGGGTGACTACGATGGTGGGTGTTCCTACAGGCCGTCCTAGTCCTTCCAGGTCGAGGTCGCGCTCCCGTTCTCCTATGTGCCCGAGCTCTGGATCCGGTGCTATTCGTCGAGCTCCGCGCATTACGGGACGTTCCTCTGCGGTGGACACTACGGAGGAGTCCACATCTAGTGATGTTGTGGGAGGGTCCTTGGGTGTTGGACAGGCAGCCAGTGTCGTCACAGAAGATGCAACCTTGAACCTTGCAGTTGTGGATGCCGCTGCTGGGGTGTGTGACACTGCGTCGGGTTCTCTGGAGACGGCGCCATCGGTGCCTAGTATGGAACCTGCAGCCGAAGGAACCGTGAATGAGGATGTATCGCTTGTCCAGCGTCTTCAGCCAGCGGAAGCACAGGAGTTGTCAAACCTGGGTGTGCGCCGTGACACAGTAACAGCATTGGGGCGTTTCTTTGGGGGTCTTGCGAATGTGCGTGATGGAAGTGCTCGAGGTGAGATTGAGCCTACGGATGTTGAGTGGTGCTTGCGGGTTGTTGACTTGGCTGTGCGGAGCTGCATTCAGGTGCAGGACCACATCAGTAGCCTCATTGTGCGACGACTTCGGGGTGATCCATGCATCCTGCCCGATTCTGATGGTCGCGGGGGCGTTTGCCAAGTTGCACACTCGTTGGTTGTGTCTCTATCGAGGACGTATCTGGATAACTTGCACAATCACCTGGCTTCGGCATGGCTTGACCCGGACAGTCTTCCCGAGGATCTTCGTCAAGTTCCTCACATGGAGGTGTACCAGCATGAGGAGAGTGAGGATGGCGACGTCGCTGAGGATGTGACGGTGGATGTGGTGGGCTATGGTGGGGGCAATGTAAATGCCGGGGTGGAACCTGTCGTTGCCACTTCCTCTGATGACCCTACTGGTGGCCGTCGCGAAGCTCGTTCGCGCAGTCCTCGCCGTGATGGTCGTGATGCTGGTGCTCAGGGTGTGTCCGCTGCTGACCAGGTTGTGCCGCCTGCTGTGAGCCCGCCTGTCGTGAATGCGGGTGCTGAGACTGACGAAACAGGTCTGATGCAACGCGTGCCGGTGCTCTCTTCAGTGGAAGGAGAGCGGTTGGTGGAGGCAGGGTGGACGCATCCATGTACCAGGGAAGTTGGCCAGATGATGGAGATGCTGCATGGACTACCGCGAGAGGAAGGGGCGTGGATGGTTGGAGTTCTTCGGCATGTGGTTCGGACACACCTGAGGATGTTGGAAAGCCTTGACGCAGTATTGGATCTCCGTCAAATTGCCAGCCCGTTCCTTCCTTCGCCAGCTTGTCGTGCCGCCCTTGTGCTGGGATGTGGCCCACTGACACGGGAGGTTCACATGTCGGGAATGCGTCAGATGATCGACATTCTGGATAATGCCCGTGACTATGTTGAGTTACTGCCGGTGGAACTTCAGGCCGCTCGGGGAGACCAGATCCAAACTGAGTTGTCGGATGTGTCGCCCGCGTCGCCTACACAGGCTCCTGATGTTCTTGGGGGTGGTTCCATGAATACTGCACTGGGTGATCCACCTGTACTTCCTGTACCAGCTGACGTTGTCCATGGTGCTCCTGTTGCCCTTCCTGCGAATCCTTTCGGTTTTGGGGGTGATCCTGCATTGTCGAGTGCTATGGTGGCTACAATGGATGGTGGAGCTGACCGTGCTGGACATGTCGGCCCTCCCCCTGGGTGTCCTCCTGCGCTACCTGAATGCCCTTCCGTTGTCGGGGATGAACCTTCGCAGTCGACTGCTATGGTGGCTACGATGGGTGTTGGAGGAGACTCTGCTGGACGTGACGGACTTCTGGAAGTGACTGGGCCGTTACCTCCCTTTGAACAACCATCTCGTCCTCTTGGTGTGGATGTGGAAGATGTTGGTCCTGGAATGTTGGGCGATGGGTCTTCGCTTTCGCTGTCTCTTGGGGATACTGGATGTGATGGACGTGCTGTACTACCTGCTGGTCCTTTCGTACCTGGGAGCGTACCTGACTTGTCGAGCGCTACGGTGTCTACTTTGGATGTTGCCGCGGTTGGTGTCGTGCCTGGTCGGGTGGATGATGTGTCGAACGGTGAGGGTGTGGATGCTGGTTGTGACGTACCTACAGATCGTGAACGGACGCCACGAGGTCGTAACCTGATGATGGGTGTGCAGGAAGAGCTTAGCTAGTTTCACTCAGTGGTAGCCTACAAGGCAGCGTCGACAGTCAAAGGCGTGTCCCACTTTAAAAAAAAACAAAAAACCCTAAACCCTAAACCCTAAACCCTAAACCCTAAACCCTAAACCCTAAACCCTAAACCCTAAACCCAAACCCTAAACCAAAAACCCTCAGGGTGTTGGGGGGGTCCTGGTAGGCCCCCTAAACCCTAAACCCTATATCCGAAACCCCCCACAACCTAAAACTGAGGCCGGCCCCCCTTCAGGCGAAGGGGCCGGCCGCAGCAGGCAGACCGGGACTTGAGGCTGTGCGCACTCGCAAAAAATGCCCTAAACCCCAAACCCTAAATCCTAAATCTTAAATCGTCTTCGCGAGTTGATACAGATGTTAGACTCGCGACTCGAAACCACCAGGAGTTCTTGCAGATGATGCGCGGCGGTATGAAGGTACCGGCTGGCAACGGATCACTGGCCTGAGGCCAGGCCATACGTGCAGGGTTTAGTTCAGGGATTTGAAGCCGCGACGCAACTTCAGAGGTTCTGTTAGCATGATAGAATTTCAGAAAGTTTCACATCTCTGTAGGCTTTGGAAAGCTTGTGTTCGGTGTTCTAGCAGTACTACTGTATCCGTGTCTGAGAGATGGCCATTCAACGATCGTTGGAGTTTGCTGACGTTTCTTCTTTCCACAGGTTTTGATGGAGTATGACCATGGGG